TAAATTTTTTCTTTATCTTGATGTTTTTCGCTTAGTTGTAACATCTTGGCAAAAACAAAACAACAAAAAAAAAAAAAAAGATAAATAAATCAATTAACCAAGTTCCAAGAATGCTCTTAACATCCTTGCGACAGAAAGAGCATAGTTGTTAGAACGATGCTTTCCCAATAAGCCTTTTATTACTTCTTCGATTACCTGCCATGCATTCAATTCAGCGTCAATGAAAATATTGTTGAATGCGTCACTTTTAATCAGCTTTCATATATCTGGACCATTTAGTACGCCTGATTGGAAAAAATTAATTTGTTAAGATGGAAAATCATGGGAAATAAGGAAAAAAATTTAAAAGGTCATAAAAAAAACTGACACATACGAACGCCAAACCCTTTTAGGGTTTTACTATACTGACCTAGTACCATCACCCTGACTTGGAATTTCTCACCCTCCAGATTAGCTGTTGTACTGTGTAATCAGAGTGTCGTACTATACTTTTTTGAATATCATAACAGCGTTTCTTGCCTCAAAACCATAAGAAGAAGTGACGCAAGTTTATTATAAGCAATTTTTGGATTTTGGATTTTGATTTTGGAATTTTTTGGACATGTTGCTCTTTGTATCTAAATTTGGTTGTTTTTAGCCTAGTCCAATTTTCAGGACTATATATAAAGTCGTTTTTAAGAAATATTTACATAATTTTTTGTTAATCTTCATGTCTATTTAGTCAATTGATTTTAGTCAAATTCCACTAAATAGCAAAAATGTATAGATAGTGCATGAAAACTACTTCTGGTAATGCATATTAAGTTAATACTATTGTTTTACATTAAGTTTCATGACAGCGATCTTAGGCCAAGCTATAATACTCTTTATATATATTCGACGCGGAGAAAAGCACCAAGAGCTACTCTATCGAGTGTAGTACCACAAAGCTCATTTTTAGGCCTTCTACTATGAAACTTGACGACGACGGGGTGTTAAGAATACATCAACCAAAAAACGTGAAAACAATTGCGTATGGTAGCGGTGGCTAAACCTCTAGATGATCTCCGCAGCTCAAATGTAATGATAGCGCAAATGGTCTACGTCAATGATTTGCTAGCTTGAGGTTAGAATTGGCTGAGCAGAAAAGTGAAGTATTGTTCATAAGCACAAAGAAGATGGATCAAAGGGTATCACTCAATATTGGGGTATGCGATATTATTTCACAGCCGCAGCTGAAGTATCTAGGAGTAATATTGGATTTGAATTTAAAATTTAAGGAACACCTGGTGTATACTTCGGTAAAGTCAACAAAATATATAATGCTGTGCTTGGGCACTAACTGAAGCCGATAGACCTCACCAAGTGATATTGCTTTGCTCTCTAATTTTAACTGCTACTATCTATGAAACGGTTATGTTTATAATTAAGAACTCATACTTGGAGAGGCTCTCTGAAATTAACCAGTTTTTCAMAGTGCTAAGCGAATATACGACGACATTGACATAGTTCAGCGAATTAAAAGACAGCGGCTACGCTGGCTAGGTCATGTTGTCCGGATGGACGCAAACGCTCCAGCTCTGAAAGTATTCGACGCAGTACCCGCCGGGGGAAGCAGAGGAAGAGGAAGACCTCCACTCCGTTGGAAGGACCAAGTGGAGAAGGACCTGGCTTCACTTGGAATATCTAATTGGCGCCACGTAGCGAAAAGAAGAAACGACTGGCGCGCTGTTGTTAACTCGGCTATAATCGCGTAAGCGGTGTCTACGCCAATCAAGAAGAAGAAGAAGCGAAAAGAAAAACATTCCCTCTTTGACCCATTATATATTGGAAGATATTTTAGAGTAAATTAGAAATCAACTATTTCACCACTAAATATTTTTGCTGGGTGCAATTGCTGCAAAATTGAAATTCACTTTCCAAATTCTAACCATGTTGCACTTGTATTTTATGGGATATTAGAATACGCAATGTACTTTATTTTTAAGGAGAAAAATATTTTTTTTTTTAACCCTTTGAAAAAACCTTTCAAATATATCACGCTTTTCAAGTATTTTCGCTAAAAAAGGAGTTAGTATATTTTATTTTGTTTTTGCAATATTTCATACACCAAAATTCTGAAGAGTGAAATTAAAAAAAATGTTTTTGCACACACACATGCTGAAGTGAACGCATTTATCCGCACAAAAACCACTTAAAAATATTAAGGCGATAAAGTGTGCCTAAAAAGCAATGGGAAAAACGCACACAGGCATAAAAAACAATTGTTGCCAATTGGCGAGAATCATAAGCAATACTTGAAATAGCTTTCACAATTTGGTTTTGTTCTTTTTTTTTTTTTGTTTTTCAATAACGTAAGCTGTAATAAATTGTCTATGAAAATGATATTTTTTTTTTGTTAATTTCCAGGCTCAGTGATAAAAACGTGTTTGTTTCGTTTTGGCGTTGGTTTTTAGGCTGCATTACACATACTCGTGCATTTATAACGGCAATTTGTATTGTTTTCATAAATTTAGTTTTTTAATAAGTCTCTATTTGCTTATTTGTTTACTTGTTTGTTATTTTTGTATTTTTTGTATTTTTTTTGCTTTTTTTCTGTGTTTTAATTGCGCTATCAATGCATGAAATGTTAATACAATACCGTTGGTTCTGACAACATATGCAATCGAGCCTTTTTTGTGGCAATCCAAAGCGCATATTTTCATATTTTTTCGAAAATTATGCACGCATTAGTCACATATGAATACACTTTTTATTGTCGCTTGTAGAATTTGTAAATTTTCATGCGGCAAAACAGATAAATTTACATTTGTTTGTTAGAAGTTGAAAGTGTCCTTTGCATTCATAAACTTTTAGTGTAACGGATATTTAGTTGTGTACTTCTGTTACATATTTCTTTTATTGTTAGTTTTGAACAATCAATATTTAATTGTATTGTTGTTGTTCATGGTTCCCGGAGGCATTTAATTTGCAGATATTACATTTCATGTGGTAAGTAATTTTTTATTTAGTTTTTTTTGTATGAAAAATATTAAAAATAATTTAAAAAAAGCGTTAGTTATAATACCCTTGACGAGTGCATTTTTTATAGCAAAAAATACTATAAAAATATATGAAACTTGATTAATATTATTTTTCAATTCATTTTGAGCAGTCACTTTATATGACTGTTATATGTTATAGTAGTTCGAACATAACATAATTCTTCGTAGATAGCATAATTGTTTTAGACAATAACGTATGCCAAATGCCCCGAGCATAACGCGTCAAATGACAAAGCTTTCCATACAATCCCTTGATTCCCTTCGTTCTGTTTATATGTTAGCTATACACTCTGGTCGTCTAATATCGGCCATTCTGTGAATTGTGCAGCTTCTTGGTGAGAAAAGAACATGTGAAAAATTTCTGGTCGATATCTCAAAAATTGAGGGACTACTTCGAGTATATACAGACGTGCAGACACAAGGACAGACGGACTCGAAGACAGACTGTCAGTGCGACGGACATGGCTGAGTCGACTCAGCTCATGGGCTGATCAATTAAATATATTATAAAATATACTTTATAAGGACACTCACGTTACCTGTTGGGTACTACAAACTTCGTGACAAACTTAATATATCTGTACAAGCCTTTAATAAAAAAAAAAAAATCGTGGGAAAAAAAATTGTTAAATAGAACTTAAAAAAAATGTAACTGCAATTAATCTAAATACAAGTATTTGTTTTTCTTTTGGAGTTTTACAAGTACTTGAATTACATTTAACCACAACAACTTACAATTAATTGTTAGTTAAATGTGCCTGGCGAGGTTTGTGAAGAATTGTGGTAAAGTGCGTTTAGCGCTTGCCTCAACTTTTACATTTTTGCTTTTTTATACAATTTCTGACAAATATGAACATTACTGGGGGCTGATAAATTATTATATTAGAGGTATGGACTTTCTTAGTGGGATAGCTATCAAACCAGATGTCAAAGTTACAAATCTACTTTCGGTATAATCTAGGTATTTAGATTAAAAAAACATATAACAGAAAAAGACATAAATACCATGGAAGTTTATATTCAAAAGTTATATTATTTTACGGTATATCCGAAAACTTAAAGTACAAATTTACAATAACAAATATGAAGGAAAATTTTGCGACAGACCTCTTAGCTATGGGGTATTTGAAGTATCCTGTTTACGTACGGTCGTGAAAACTTTAAGTAAGTCAACTTTTTAAGCTTTAGTTCATTTTAGTTTAACGGTTAAGGGGTTATATAGGTTTAGGGCCTTCAAAAAATTCAATTTTTTTTATTGTCTTATTAAATTCTTGAACATCTCTGAGAACTTGTGCGCTCGAGGCTAGCTAGGCTAAGTGTACCGCCGGTTAGCGAGAACTAATCAACCAACCTTCATGAAATTGTACACAGGTCTTTGAAATACAATTCCTAAAGATTGTGAAAAAGGATTTTTTTTCAATTACAACTATTTGAAAAAAAAAAAATCGACATTTTCACTGAAAATTTCATGTTTTTGTAAAAATGTCTCTGCCAAAAATCCAATTTTCAGTTTTCTTTTGTATCTTCGTTCAAGTTTTAAGTTAAGGTTTTAACTAAAACATGTATAACTGTTTTCTCGTTAGATGATTCTGTTAGGAGTCATCCTGACAACGTGGGCGCATCTTTTTTCCAAGGGGTCACAATGGCCGAGGTTAAAATACTTTTTCCAAAAATTTCAGACTTTCTTTGTTAAAATAAAAAAAATGTAATAAAATATTTCATTTTTATTAGAAAAAAGTTGTTAAAAGATGCTATTTTTTACCTGAGGAAATCCATGTAACTCCTTAAGAAAAGTTGCCGCATAATTGAAGCTAATAGTTACCTATTGGTTTGCATTCAGAAACAAACTAGGAATTCCTAGCGGGTACCCTCTTTATAATATTTTTGTCATTTTCGATTTTGTCGTAGTATATATTACTACTCACGCCTTATCGTATCGGGGTTATAAATTTTTATTAGTAATGAAACATAACTTACCTTTAAATTTGTTGCTGTTGAACTTCCTACGATGCGTACGAAAATTATAATCTAGAAAGAGAGGAATAGTTGCTCTAATTAGTACTAAGTTCTAGGGAGCAAAGAAAAAAAAAATTATATATCTGTAATAATTATTTGAATAGTGACAATTTGATGTAAAAATAAATAATTATTTCTATTATATATGGAAAATAATTGTATTGAGGTTGTTTTAATGGTATTGCCTTCATGGCTTTTGCAGAGGAAAATTTTTGAAAAAAAAAAAAAAAATTTAGAAAGCTTAATTTTTAGACTTTGAAAAGCATACATGAATGATTAAAGCAATACAATTTTTAGTTTTTCAGTTACTGTCTTTATTAATACCTATTTTGCTTTCACTTTGTATTTCTAATGTTGCTCTATATTTCATGAACAGCAAAAAGGGCATTTGACTTTGCTAAAACAATTCATAGTACGCCTAAGTGTAGGCAAGGCTAAATTTGTTTCGTCTAATGATGATTTATAAAATATTGCTTCACTTATAAGCAGGTTAGAACTTATATGATTTATATTGTATATGTAAAATAATTGAGTTGTGGTTTTTTGTATGTTATTGCCTTCGTGTCTCTTCAGAGGCAAATGTTTGATTAAAATTTATTGATGAATGATGAAAGCATTAAAAGCTTTTATTTTTCAGTTACTGTCTTTACTTTGACCTATTAGATTATCACTTTGTATACCTAGGCTGTTTTTTCGATTTATCAACAAAAAAAAGTGTGTGACTTGGCTAAAATTTTTCACAGAATGCCTAAATGTAGGCAAGGCTAAATATGGTTTAGAAAGGTGGTTTATAAAATATTGCTAAGTGGCGAGTTGGGTTATATGATACATTGGCATATATAATATAATTGTATAGAAAACTTTAGTTTGATGTCAAACTATATTTCTCAAATGAAGAAAATAATGCCACAGCGAAGATATAATATTACAGCAGCTGCAGAGCAGTTCTCAAACGAAAGCACCAAAATGTAACTCCAAGATCAATTCGTTCAAATTATCTGTATTTTTTCAAGATATGCATAGTATTTTAAGTATTGAACATATAACAAGCTCAAGAAAAAGTTTCTACCAAACTTTCAGCACTTGTCGAAAAATCGTTAAGCTGAAAAATTTACGTAGAGTCAATGGGATTAATGTGATATTTGTTAAAATTCGCAAAGCAAAAAATTTATTGTGACACTTCAAGCTCTTGATTAACACTGCGGGCCATAGGGGAGATAATGGCAAATAAGCTAAAATATTAAAAGGGTTGCGTTCCAAGAAACCCGCCGCAAGCAAACGTAGAGAAGATGTCACGCCGAAAAAGGATTAATGCGAAAATCTTGTATAAATTGTGATGACAAGCGTGAGATATGCGCGAAAAATGAGATAAGCTCAGCTTAACTAGGTAAAAAAAGCAACAGCAAAAATTAAGCTTGAAGCGCCAAAGCTAAATGTGAACGGATATTATTTGTAATTGCATTAAGGAGCGAGAGCGCATTGAAAAACGCGCAAAAAGTCAACATAGAAAGCTGGTTAATGTGAACGAGACTGGTGGCTAGCTGCTTCAACCGCCGGGATTCACTGCTTTCGACAACGAAGCCGCAGAGACCGTCCTTCAAGCAAATAGTTGACGCAAAAACAGCTTTAAAAAATACACCGAACACATAAAAAGTGGCAAAAATTCATGGCGAAGTTTGCAACTACAATTTTGTGACAGTCAAAATGCGAAAAATGCGAAAAATACGAAAAATGCGGGCTGCAGCCGAGGCAACGGACTAACGGGCAGATGCTTTCGCCACGGAAACTGGTGTGGCAGTTTTCGTTTTCGGTGCCTTTGTCAACTTTTTCTAATGCGAGCGGGTCAATTGTGGAAATTGGCATGAACTTGGCATCAAAAAGATTTTTCGACAGCATTAATATGTAAGAAATGTGGAAATGTAGATAGGGATACGGATAAGGATAACTAGCAGCGTAAGGAAGAGGATAATTTATGCAAATTGCATGGCGGAAGAGCTGAAGTAGAAAATGAAACGCAGAATGAATTGAAAAGAAAATGAAGTGAAGTGGAGTTAAGCGCAGAGGACGACGTGGCCACGCTGAGTGGAGCACATTCATGGCCGGAGTGAATGACATTACCGAGAAATTGAATTGGTTTTATTAGATTGTGTAGCTGTATTTGTGGATTGTATGACTTATTGTGACAATGCAATTGTGGCAAATGAAATTGTGTAGCATACTAAGGCGTCGTATAACTTGCAAAGTTAAGAAGTAAGTATGTTTGGAATATATATACATCTAGTGCCAATCGGATACGGGAAGCGTTTAGCAACTGATGCCTCAATATTTGATCGTGGTCGGGTGTATATGTGTTTGTTATATTGATCAGTAGGTTATTATATTCAGAAAAGTACAGGTTAGGTTAGCTAATCTGGTTGGCCAATGAGCCATACATAGACCAGTTTTGATCCTTTGCGGTACTAGATGGAGTTTAGTTACTAGCCCCATGAGAAGTAATCATCCTTTAGTATATCTGCACTTGATGCGAATTTTAACAGACTATGCGGCTTCACTATCGATACCTTTACCAGCGTATCATACCCTGAGGACCCCAGAAGCCTGTGTGTAGCCTGATCTTGTCAATGCCTACACTATTATTTTCCTGTTGCTTTATTCAAGACATTTTCTGCAGTCTTCCTGATCTGTCAGCCTCATTTTGCGGGCATGCGTCGCCAATAGACAGTGGGGACCAGTTAGTAATCCGATCATGTTCCTACAGTCTCTTCTATCAAGTGCCAAAAGAAATTTTGTGCACTTCCGATTGCAATGATTTTTGCAATTTTGCACCCAGGTAGCCGCTTCATCGAATTCTGATTGTTTTTACCATGCTGCTATACAGATAATCGTATAATCAATACATTGATTTCCCAATGTTGCTTACGTTTTCGGGTGTTAGTCATCGCAATCTCGTCCACTATTGATGTTTTTCCTAAGACACTGCTGGAAGATATGTGATACGAGGTTACTATCCTTTTTCTCAGCGAAAAAGTGGACTCATGTAGTCAGTATTTCCCAAACCGACATTTCCCACCGAGCTATTCCCGAAGAGCATTCTGTATATAAATACTCCTGCAGACAGTAGCTGTCCCGCTGATCTATAGGTGGCTGGTTTAGTACCAGTTCGTTGGCATATGCCATTATCTTTGCCGTCGAAGTACCTTAGAAGTATATTCATCACTAATGTCCATAGAAGCGGAGATAGCACTCCACCTGGCGGAGTATTTCTACAGACTTCCTTGGCTATTGAGGCTTCTGATCCAGTGATGTATAGCAGGATCAATATTCACTGACTGGATACTGTTCAGAATTGACTCCGTAGAGACGTTATTGAACGCTCCAGAAATGTCCAAGAATGCTCTAAGAGCGTATTCCTTGTATTCAAGAGTCCTTTCGATATTGAATACCAGTGTATGGAGTGCAGTCTCTACTGATGTGATATGCGTGCTGCGCTTTTTGCAAGCTTCTTGGAAGCGCTGCGGACCTAATGTGCATGCCCAAGATTTTCTCTAGCGTTTTCAGCAGGAAGAAAGTTAAAATTTTAGACTTAAACTGGTAAGGCAAATTGGTACAATTTAAAGCTTGAAATGTTTCGGACAAATTTTCTTTTTGAGGGGTTTCCCTTCCAATATATTTTTACTATTGATGTTACTCGACTTTTCTCCTGAATTTAAATTAATATTTGTCGACTTGTGTGTCAAACACCACCGTACCACCAGTAGATCCGCCACTGTGTTCAGGCAAAACCATGTGTTGAAATAGTAACATTTTGAACTAAAAATGCACGGGCATATCGTGGAATCTATTACAGAAAGATGAAAAAGTTACCAACAACGGGCTTCTGATGAAAAAATAATACACTGTAAATTTCTTAATAAAAAAAATATCAATAATTAAATATTTACGATTTATACACAATTTGCGAAGGCGCTGAAAGGTCCTCCACTGCCTCAATGATTTTGACCTCCTCCGTAAGTGAAACCTAACAAAAAAAAATCTCACTAGAAAATATATATGCACAATTATATATGGTTCAAAAGACAAATAACTTACAAAGTGGCAATAAACCCGAGTTTTTTAAGACTGGTTGGTTCACTTATGAATCGTAATATATTTTTTTTAATTATAAATTAACCATATATAATTAAATAATGGTCCAATAGAAAACTAATTTGTATTTATACGTACTCATCAAAAAATTAGCACCACCTTTGTCGATGATTTCCAATTCAGCACAAACTCTCATTAAAATGACTGTGCAGCTTTTCTATTGCCTTTTTCTCTTTAATTGGACGCTGTGATGAGGCACACAATACACATACACGACAGACATTATGCGCTCCACACCATTGACCAAGAGAATTTTCCTTGAAATTGCAACTCACTCGCGTTTGCGGTGCAATCGATGGCAACGCCTTATAAATATGCAATACTTTTGTATTTAAACACAACGCAGCAAAGTCCTGCTTAATATGTACAAAGCGTAGTAAAAACAGCGACAATAAAAACATCAATGCAATAGTTAAATAAAGGTGGCAATGACAAAAAAGGAGAACGCATAAAGAGGATGCCGCATCTTCGTCAGGCACTGTGTTCTCGGAATGAGATTGTGGTGCGTAAAATAATAAAAACAACAAAAACAAGGAAGGCATCTAACGATCTATAAGCGCGCAGAGAGTATGGCGAAGAAGCGCATTTGGCGTGGTTGTGCATCTCTTTGGCGCAGCTGGTGGAGAATGGCGGAGCAGAAGAATGTGCAGAAACACTTACCCACATGGAAGTATTATTTTAATTAACTGCATAAATGCAACACTTTGCGAACATTAAAATGCAAAAGCCAATGCGGCAATGGTGAAAGATAGGGAGAGTGAAAGAGCGCAACAAGCAAGGCGCAGCAACTATGCGAGCGTCTAAGTGTTTTCAATTAATTACGAAGTTAAGCAGCGAAAAAAATTTTTAAAATTCTTATAGTGTGA